AATTCTTCGTTGTTTTTGTCCGAAATTTAATTACTCGTACGTTTCGATCGTTTGCTCCTTAATTGACATTCAATGGACTATCGAGCGATTTCGTGAGCTTGTGGACGGTAATTAAATTTCTCCGTACTTGCAGATCGTGTAGTTTTAATTCACGCGATTTTCGGGATTGTACGTGTATAAAATCGCACTCGTAAAATTCGACTTTACGACGTCGTTTCTTCTAAACGAGTGCAGGCTTCGCCCGTCGATAAAACCCGACATTTTAAGAGTCGAAGGATCATTTACCTCCTCGACTGCGAGCTTAAAATAATCGTAGTCGGGTGTTACGTTTTCAGCGAGTTTCGAAAATGATTGATTGATCTGTTCGCTATCAAAGAGCTGTATCGCGCTAATGAGACGTGCAAAATTACACTCAATATTCTTCAATATTATTCTTCAGGAGATATATTAATTATTTGACTAATATTTCCAACATTAATATTGATTGATGTCATTGTTTAAAATGCTGTTAATGCATCTATTTAATTAACTAATTTTTGCAAAATTTTATTAAGTAAAAACGTTGAGAGCTTTTGTACTAAGTATAGATTGTTTATAACAAGTATTATAATTTTGTCTCTTTCATCATTCTATCAATTATCCACTGAAATCCGAGAGCTTGGCGCGCGAAATAAAATTTCTTTTCATATTTGCGATAACAATCCACTGATTTAAAGCTGGTATTTGCTCGAACTTTCAGCCGCGACTTTCTGTTTCTTTAATGAAACACGTATAACGACATGACATTGTACCTCGCCACGTTTACCAAGTTCAATGGTAACCGCGGATGGATTTGTTTTCCAGCAACAGATTTGCAAATCCGTCGAGCAGAGTGTTTGCATTGTGGAACAAACAGTGGCGTGGACAGTGTCATCTAAATCCCTCGAATTTTGCCGAGTTTTCCGTAGTACCGGAGGGTAGACTTTATTACACCACGTTTATGCTTTCTCTCGTATTAAAAAACTCCCTCTCTTATAATTGCTACGGTGGATTACCCATTATTGTATTTTTCGCAACACAAATAAGACTTTTTAATATATTGAAATTAATGCGAACTTCATGAATTAATACTAATGTAACGATTCTATCGAGAAGCTTTCAGCAACTGAGAAATTAAAAGTCAATTAGTTCTCCAAGATAGTTACCACAATTAAAAACAATTATTTTTTTCCGCTATTAATCTTACAAAATGTTTTAGAAACCTTTTGTACTATCATCGGTATCGGAGAACTTAAGCTATAATTATATCAAAACTCGAATAATAAGAGTTGTGGTACCTCGGGATCCGTTAATGGCTCCTCTAATGGAAGTAATTTATCTTTTTTCCATCTTGTATTCTGCGTGACGAGAAGCGATGTTGTGGAACCAAAAAGTGGAACAGGAAGCAAAAGTCGGAGGTGTCTATTAAGAAGTCCGCTGAATATTAAAGCGACGAAATGTTTTCTGACGCCGCGGCGCGGAGATTAACGAGGCGATTATTAAAATATGCAGTACGCCGGCCTAATTAGCCCGCCGATGAAACCAAGAAGTCGTCTGCTCTGCTTGCCATCTTCTTCAGTTTTACAAAGGTCGCGAACTTTAACACGATGCAATTTCGCCGTATTACTTCGCTCAATTTACGCGGCAAATCGAGTTGACGCGGACACTGTTTTATCAGTATTTTTCATAGATTTCCTTTTGACGAGCAATTCTTTTTCAACGGTAGACTCTGCGATAAGAACTTAAAAGACTTTTTGGATTAGAACCATAAGATTTTAGCGCCAATAAAGCGTAAATGTTTAAGGAAATTTAAAAACTTTATCAGGTACTAAGATTTTGTGAGTATCAAAAGAAAATCTCAAGGCTCATGCATTAAATTATATATAATAAAAAAGATTAATAAGTTTAGTTTTTTTTCCATCATAGATGAAGGTCGCATTATAATCAATGTGCGTGTAGCCGTTATGTATTTTATTATTTTTCTATTATATTACATTATCAACCAATATTGCTTACCTACAATATAAATTAATCACTGATTTCCGGGAAATATTTTATACCATTTATCATACAGAAATAAAAAGCCGTTATTTCTTTCACATCGTCAGTCTGTCGATAACACAAGCGATAAAAAAATGTAGCTGCTAATCTATCTTGCCACGTAACGCAGCGCTAATGTTACGCAGTCTCGCGTTTCGCGTGCAGCCCGTAAAAGTGCGAAGGGAAGAATAACAACGAATTTTGTTAACAACAGCGAGATTAACGTGACGGTAAAAGAGCGAATGGGGAAAAGTGACTCGCGTCCGCGAAAGTGCGAAAAAAGCCACCCCCCGGGCTACTTGTGCGAAAGTGCGCTTCATTTACCGCGACAATTAACGGAGCAACGGCGCACGCACGTACGCACGCACGCATGACATGAGCGCTGCAGGGAACGAGCCTGGTAGGAGAAATCCTGTCGTCGCGCTGTAAACAGGACAGACAGAATCGTCGCCGAAAATTCACGTCGCGCCGACGGCGAGACGTGCAGCGAGATTCGCAGTTTACGCAACTGCTCGTGTAATCGTTGTAACTCACTGCCTTACTTTACTGCACAGAACGCGGCAGAGCAAACGTAAACGTACGCGAGGTATCGCACACATCCTGCGGCGGTAGAGACTTCCGTGATTCTCGCTCCCGCGTGTAAAACGCGATATTGCTGTCTTCGTGTTACAGAGACGCGGTACAATGAGCCTGGCCTGCGCCGCCGGCTATTGTTGCAACGTTATTAATCATTTTCGATCATCGCCCGCTGTCGTGGCAAAAACATCATTTTACTTTGACTCATCTCTCAATCAAGTTGCGAGACAACTTTCGAATGGGATTGCGTCTGGCCGAGAAGTGCGCGAACCGGTGAAAGCGACCGTCATGTGGGAGGCACAAAGCACGGTTTATCCCCTCACATCTGCGGTTGTTTGTTGATCAAGGTTACTAGAATGCTTGAACTCGGCTTCCTTACATAATACTGCGAGCGTGGGATTTCGTTGTTCCATATTATTCATTCAGTTGTACATTTACTGAGGTAGACAATATCTTTTCATTTCCGTGAATTGCCCTTTTGCACGTTTATTCGCGAACACGACACGTTAAAACGTTAGTACATTTAATAAAATTGATTTACATATATTATAAGGAAAAGCCCGTGTGCGTTCTGTATACATAATGACATATAATGCGTATAAAAATATTTAAAAATTTTTCAAGTTAAACAAATTTTATGTTCCTTAATTTTTAAATACTTCTGTTTATAATTTACATACACATTGTATTAAATAATATACTCATAAATTGTTAGAATAAAATATTTAATGGTATAAACGGCAAGTCTTTTCAACACGATGCAACAGTAATTGCAATCATCCACGACATCCATGTGCATAACGCATAAGTGTCCATACTTTTCCAGAAAAGGTAACGCGATTATTTCCGCATCGCAACATAATTGTCATACGGTTGAAGATAAATCATACGTTATTCCAATTCCTAGTTTCGTTTTTATTCTACAAATACTTGGTATTTTCACAGCCGTGTAACATTTGACAACGCAGTTTTACGTGAAGGCACAAACGTAGACGCACATTCATGTGCGCACACATGTACACGCATGTGTGATCTCTTCCGCGTTGCGTAATTGCAATTGCTGAAGCCCTCAATCGCAATTGCTGCGTTCGCCTAATATAGTCGGAGAAACCGATTGCACTGCTGATTAAAAAGACACTACGGAGAAAAGGCCGTTATAAAATTTCACTTTGTGCCTTCGATTTCTTTCTAACTTACAATAGATGCGAGATGGACGCGAATTAATTCAGTTTACATTACGGTGACGCGCCTTAATTTTTAAAATAAATATTTGTACTGCTCCGATGATGTGCAAATATTTAATTCCCTAATCGCAGGATTATTAAAATTTATGTATTTACGGAAATTTGTGTATTGTTCGTACAAACGTGCTTTATATTTTTACGAAATACATTTTAAATATATATTAGGAATTAAGAATTTTGTGATTGGACAATTTATATTTCTTAATAGGCGCTTTTTAAATGTGATAAACTAATTATTTTCTCTTGCTAGTCTTAGTAACGTATTAAAAGTTTTATCTCAATAATTAATATTAACAAATAAATGTTACATTACATTATTAATTACTTTTGTAATTCTATTATCAGTGATTATGTAACAAATTTTGTAGTATACCGAATTGTACGATTGGTCCGTTAAATTTTATTGTATGGCTTAAAAAATCATAGTTGACTCACAATCAGTATAAGACGATAAATTTCTCTTTCAAGGATATAAAGGATATTTTGTCAATATGTTTTATTGGTAAAGAAATCTTTGTAAGAAAAGTTATGTGTGTTTGGAGAAATTTTTCAAGTGGGCGCATTTTAAAAGAGGACATTAATACTGAGTCAGAATTACAAATAGTTAATTTATGAGCGCGAGAGGAATTCTAGAAAGCTGACGCGTTGTGAAATATTGCATCGAGGTCTCGCGACTTTTATTTACGGATTAATGTCAAAATTTGTGTAATCATTATGACAAAAATTTAATATAAACGTTATTTAATTTGTAATTGTTGCTGTTAAAAAATGTAATGTACTATCAAAAATTACAACTTTTTATTTTATAAAAGGACACGTGTGAAGATATTAATTATTATTCAAATTAAATTATTACATTTTGATATTTTCTACAACTAATTTATGAGCCGAATAAGATCATTCTTTATTTGAAGCAAGAAGTTGTATCTTTTCTTACAAATGTTCCTTTAAATCTTCATTCTTACTATATAACAATTAAATATTTTTTACATCAAGGTATGGACTGAGTGTATTGCCAAGTGAAATTGCAAGAAAAAGAACAATACGCACTGCACCACTTTTGTCATCCATTTTGCTTAAATATACGTATCGGTATTAATAGCCTTTCCATTTTCTTTGCAGACGACTGTCCAAACTGCGTGGACGAACATAGTAGCAGCTTGGCGGCTTCAAGATGGACGATGCCTTTACTGAAGCTGGGCGAGAAGAGATACTACCTGGGGATCTTCTTCAAGGTATCGCTCCTGCCAGTTACGCTGATTTATTTGACCGAACCGTCGACCCGACCCGGGTCTTGGACTTTATCAAATTATTTCCGAGCTCGTAACTTTCCGGCTTTGCTGTCACGGTCGGTTTTACGGTGCATCGAATGCCGACTAGGGTAGTAAGGGTCTTTTCGGATAACGGCGACCCTGTGGTTGGTTGTACCAAAGAAATTCGCCTGATGAAAGAAAGAAGATGAAAAACATCGAAGCGAAATATGTAAAGAAAAACTGTAAGAGTTCCCAGCCACCTCGGAAGTTCTCTTTTTCTACAACACGGAAAAAAAAGATTTGCTATGACAA